TCTCTCTCTCTGTGTCTCTCTCTCTCTGTCTCTCTGTCTCTCTCTCTCTCTCTCTCTCTCGTCAAAATGGGTCACTAACTGTCACGTTCCCACGCACACACTTCACACTAGCCTAACACTAACGAAAATACACTCCACATCTTGCGCCTGTCCCTGCTATGATTTTTGTATAAGTCATGAATTATTCCTAGCTTACAGAACGTCTTGGTTCGGGCTAGCCTCGGTACTCGGTAGGCGTACAATCTCCCTGACCTTTCAACCTTAACCTCCATATTTACGCCCGTCAGTATCGAGTTGGCTTTTAAAGTGCTTTACTTAAAAGCTTAGTGGCAGGACGTGTCAGTATACTGTGTTTGATACCTCTATATAATACATGTACTTGTAAAGGACTCCTTCCTCCTCCTCCAACTCTTTACGGGTGGTTGGTGGGTGGTTTGGTGTGGTTTGCTTTTTCTTTCCATTCTATTGTCCTTATCTCACCTTCTTTTTTGTGTTTGTTATTCTCTTGTGACTCTTCTAATCTTCGCGTACTTATATGGCTGTATTCTGTTGCAAATGCGGTAAAACACTTACTAAATAAAAAAAGCATCCCCCTCCTCTTCTTCATCCTCATCATCATCATCATCATCATCATCAGCAGCAGCAGCAGCAGAAGCAGTAGCAGCAGCAACGGCAGTTATCAACACAACAGGCAATGTCAATGTCTCAACTGTCAAGAAATCCAAGTTGTTGTTTTTTAAGCTAGGTTTTATAGCTCGTCCAACTGAAAGAAAAAAAAATTAAGATTATTTTGCAGATAATTTTTGACTGCACCGCTTTTAATCCCACTTTTACCAGCAGTCTTGTATCAAATTGCTTAATTAAATGTAAGCAAAAGACCTGGCCCGAGAATTATTCAGCAAATTTTTGCCTTGTTTTTTTTAAAATAGAAAAACACGATTTATTGAGTCCTAATGTGATGACTTGAAATAAAAGCTATCCTGCTGAAATATGTTCCAGACGTTTACCGTAAATCTGCTTATTTTCCACCTCAGATTGACGCATAGAAAAAAGCCACCCGTCTGTGGGAGAATTAGTGCCCTTTCATATCAACATATGAAGCAGAAA